TAACCTCAAGGAAGCTGTTCTGAGCACTGTGCTCCAGAGAGGAAGTATGTGTGTGGAAGTGTATGTCTCTGTCACACAAGCATGAGAATGTGCCTACATGTATGTGCACCCATGTGTGTGTGGTGAGAGTGTGTGTGTGCCAGAGTGTGCCAAGTATGTGCATGCACACATGTGTGTGTGTGTGTGTGCACCCGTGATATGTGAGAGTGTGTTTTGTTTTGGTTTTTTTTTTGTAAGGTTTTTCGAGACAGGGTTTCTCTGTGTAGCCCTGGCTGTCCTGGAACTCACTCTGTAGACCAGGCTGGCCTCGAACTCAGAAATCCGCCTGCCTCTGCCTCCCAAGTGCTGGGATTAAAGGCGTGTGCCACCACTGCCCAGCGTGTGTTCTTGCACACGTGTGTGCATGTGTCCCACATTGCTTACAGTCGGTAGAGATGGGTCATAGCCAAGCGTCCAGGACTCCAAGCAAGTGCCCAGCCTCCACCCCAGCTTCCTGCTAAGTGGAGACAGGATCCTGTGTGGGAGGTCATGTGGTTGCAGGAAGCTGGGCAAGATCGTCCTGGCCCTTTCCTGTTTGTGCTGCTCTGGACAGAGACCTTGAGGCCTCTTGGCACAGAGGCCCAGACTGAGTCATTGCCACAGGCCCAGGGCTGACAGGGGCTGAGCGGGGCGCTGGGCAGACTGTCCTCGATGGTCTGCATTGAACAGTGCAACGGGTTTAAGAGCCTCTAGCTTCAGACACACCTGGGACATACCTGGGACCTGCCAGTGCCTTAGTAAAAAGTGGTAATAGTTCTGTCTGTGAGGCTCACATTAGATCTAAAATGTATGTAAAAATTATAGACCTATCGGACAGAGTAGTGCACACCCAGGATCTTTGTGAGGGGAAATCTGGAGCTCCAGGCCACCACAAGTCTCCATCTCAAAGACAAGAGAGTAAACCCAGCAAACGACCCTCCAAGTGCTCGTGGGTCTCTTAGACCTTGCTAGGTTATCAGCAAGAGGCAGGCAGGGCTCCATGTGTGTCTGAGTTTTATGAACGATCAAATATTGCATCCTGGAATTCTGTACTTCTTTTCCTTTCTATCCCAAGCTGGCCACCCGAGTCCTCCCATTGGACTTTCTGAGAACCAGACACACTTTGGTCTTGCCCTGTGGATTTGCCCCACATTGCACTGTCCTGTTGGCATTTAGTCTTGGGCGCTTGCACACCGAGCCATAAGACAGCTTGCCACATGGCTGTGAAGTATCCAAGGGAACACAGCTACTCACGGTCACATGTGGCACCTTCCTTAAGTTTTGTGCTGAGACAGAGGTGTTGGGTTCTCGGAGTGCATCTGACCCTTAGAGGCCTTCAGTGAACCAAGCGGCTTGTAAACTCTCTAGGTTACACAGAAGCTGGAGGCCGTGTGCAGGACAGGAAGCCACCGTTGACCCTACGTAGCAGACCGTGCCTGCCGTGATTCCCAAGTCCCTATGGTCTTGATGCACAGGGTGCCAGGGCAATGGTCCTGATTTAAGTGCTGACATGTATCGAGTGACGACTGCATGCCAGCCTTGTCAGAAGCTGTGTGGTCCATGTGACTTGCTTTGTCCCAGACACCTGTGCTCATCACAGAGCTGGCCCAGCCCAGCCCAGGACACTGAGCCTTGGAGTATAAGAAACCGCTGTTCCCCCACTCCCAGCGTGGGCCTCAGAGGGTCTGGGCCTCTGAAGAACAGGAAGGGATACCACTGGGGTCCTGCCTCCATCACTCTAGGTAAAAATTGCAGA